TATAGTTATTTGGGGAATTTGTAAGGTTAGGTAACCGTGAACGTCACGGGGACGTGACAGGCTGGGAGGTGATCGAAAATGGACCTCGTTACCTTTCTCGGCTGACGATTACGGCCCAAGGAGCACATTTTCGAATCCACAGAATTGTCGACTGGGTGCACCGGATTGATAGCGAGGAGACGATGAAGCTGCTCTTCTCGACAGCCCAGGTCCCGGAAGTTGACCTTTCGGATAGGGAGGTTGTTTGGACAATTTCTGGGCTAAAGACCCCAGTGTTGCGGATGCGATTGAACGAAAATTTCTTAAGTTCTGAAATGGAAATGCTGAAGAGATTAGTGCCAGCCGAAGGATATCAATTATTAAGCATTGTCGACTCGGTGCCAACTCCGGAATTCCTTGATTTTGCCGAGACATGGGTGAAAAAGCTCGTAATTTCTACTAACAACGAGCTATCCCATTGGTTGGAATGCAAGCACAAGATGTGGACGATAGGCTTGGAAAGTCCGGATGAGGATCAAATGGACGAATGTATCGATCGGTTCATCGCGGAATGGATGGATCATAAACGAGAAATTATCAGCATTGCCGTCACTCGACCCTGGAGTCGGGTCCATCAAAATCGGCGTCATCAGCTTCGCGACTACCGACGAGCCGACGGGAAGATGCTCGTTTTCTCGGCTGACAATAATTTCCGGTGGCTCGAGGGGTTTGAGGCTGAATAAATCGTATTAAAGCTATAACTTTCCAACAACACTAATTCACGGATATTATAATTTTTCATAGCTTCCGGACGTATTTAGTACGTTCTTACTCTCTCAGAGGGGGGCTTTTCTTGGGACACCCTGTACTATCGTCCAAAGCCGTATTTTTCACATATCTCATGATCTAATGCCGACCTTGACATCGAATTCCAGTGCAGATAAACCTAAAGCCCCTCGGCACGGCAATTTGCAAGCAACACGGATAGCGTTGCGGATTCGCTTTGGAACTCCAGTAGGGATCACCCAAGGCCATATGAAAATCTTCGTGCAGAAAGAGATTTACGCAAAATCGATGGGCGTCGGTAGATTCGCCTCCAAGGCTCTCCATCATTCATGCCTCGCTCGCATCTGTCGACGACTTAATTTCCTCATAGCGTTCGCACATTATTGGCAAACCCGAAGTGGGCCAATTTTTCCGCCAGAGTGAAAGGCGCTTACGGCGGCGCGGCCATTGACAACCACTACAAATATCTTTGAAACTTTCTGGCTGTGATCACACTGGCGATATCTCTGGCTCTCTCCCTCTCTCTCTCTCGCTCCCTCTCTCTCGCTCTGTGTTTTCTTGAACGCTTCGCCTTTCCAAAAATCCTGATTTTAGGAATGTCCTTTCTGGAGCTGCCGCGCGTGGTCCACCACAACATCCTCAAATATCTCGGCTTTGAAGACCTCCACTCTCGCTTTCGTCTCGCGAGAACCTGCAAAAAAGGTAAATTGACAGAATCTCGAATTACAAAATCTCGAATGACAGAATCTCGAATGACAAAATCTCGAATGATCAGAATCTCGAATGATCAGAATCTCGAACGATTAGAATCTCGAATGAACAGAATCTCGAATGATTAGAATCTCGAACGATCAGAATCTCGAATGGTCAAAATCTCGAATGACAGAATCTCGAATGACAAAATCTCGAATGATCAGAATCTCGAATGATCAGAATCTCGAACGATTAGAATCTCGAATGAACAGAATCTCGAATGACAAAATCTCGAACGATTAGAATCTCGAATGAACAGAATCTCGAATGATTAGAATCTCGAACGATCAGAATCTCGAATGGTCAAAATCTCGAATGACAGAATCTCGAATGACAAAATCTCGAATGGTCAAAATCTCGAATGAACAAATCTCGAATGCCAGGATTCCCACTGATATCCTAATCTAGTTTCGTCTGGCTCGATCCAGCATAGATTTTTTGTCTTAGATAGAAGCTAGTAAGCTGTGAGTATGCCCTGCCGAGGGATGGTCCTTTTTGAACATCATACTTTACAAAATGATAATGAAGAACATTAGCGTTAAGTCGAAAAATTCGTTTTTTTTTCGACGCAAAGAGCTCAAATTCTTGAAGACTTAAGCTTTTAGATAGTGTTGCTACAGCTATTGATTGCCAAAACCTCCATAGAAAAACTTTGGGTTCAATTACTAGGCCGCTAGTGGAAATTTTCATCCAAACTGTGCTTTCCTGGATCGAAGTTTGGTCCATTCGAGATTTTGACCATTCGAGATTTTGTCATTCGAGATTCTGTCATTCGAGATTTTGTAAATTCGAGATTCTGATCGTTCGAGATTCTAATCATTCGAGATTCTGTTCATTCGAGATGCTGATCGTTCGAGATTCTGATCATTCGAGATTTTAATCATTCGAGATTTTGTCATTCGAGATTTTGTCATTCGAGATTTTGTAATTCGAGATTCTGATCGGCAAGCGCAAAAAAGCCTGGACGGTCGTGGAAAATGGACCGCGCCACAGATCGCCTTATGCGATTTGTGCCGCAATGAGCGGCTACTGGGTCGAGCGGTCGATGTTTTGCGAGCCCCGTTTCTGCGCCACGTTTCGCGGCCACGACACAATCAAGCTGCTCTTTTCAACGGCCGAGATCCAGCACTTTGCCGCACCGTGGAAGTACAAATTCGAAGCCACGGGGCTGACAGCGCAAAGGCTTGAATTAAAAATTGAAATCGACATGAAACTGCTGCGAGAGCTCATGCCAGAAGGGGGTTTTTCCGAAGTGGAGGTGTTTGGCGCTCCGCCCACCCATGAATTTTTTGAATCTGCCCTAAAATGGGCAAAGAAGCTTAAAATAACTTGCTGGAATCGTCCCCTGAAGTGGCTGGCGTGCAAAAACAAAGACTGGATCCTGGCGTTGTGTCACGCTGAGCAAATGGCTTCCGAAAAGTTTGTTGAGCTCATAATTATCGAATGGATGGATTATCGAAGAGAGATTAACGAGATCGTGTTCCATGGGAAGGCCTCAAACTACCAAGATCGGAATGAGGTTGTAAAAGAATATGTCCGAGACGATCACAAACTTCTGCGCGTCTCTTCACGAAGCGGCTTTTACACGATACGAGTCGAAGACGTTGGCGATGTCTAACCTTTATGATGTTGATTGTGTTAGTTGGAAAATTGTTTTACATACTATCGAAATCTTACCATACATTTTGTTTCCTACCGGAATTTTAATTTTGGATCAGAATATAGCGATAAGTTGGTCGAAACAAAATGCACGTCTTAATACATTTTTCTATAAGAACCCACGAGGACATAGATCGGGCAAAGCTAAGAATTTAAAGCTAAAACAACCGACCAGAAGGATTTTTATTTTTTTCTCGCACGCGCGCTCTCTCTCCTGCTCGCCCACTCTTTTTCTCGCTTCTTCTTTATCGCTGTTTCTCGCCCTTTGCCGCTCTCTCTCTCTCTCTCTCTCTCTCTCTCTCTCTCTCTCTTTCTCTCACTCTCTCTCACTCGTTCTCTCTTTCTCACGTTCTCTATCTCGCCCTCTCTTTGACCTTCATCCATACGGATCAAGCACGGGGAAATTATAGTGCCCTCAGGTTGCTCGGGCGGGTGACCCATGGATAGGCGATTTTGGCGCTAAATCGATCGCTCGTGTCGATCGAATGAAAATTTGACAGCCATGGCCTCTGACGCACGCTTGCACCATATTTTTCGGATTTTACGGGTTGGGTTTATTCTCTCCCTCTCTCACTCTTGCTCTCTCCCCCTCTTTCTCCCTCTAGCTCCGCTTACACATCTACTTTCCAGACATGTCTTTCGTGGAGTTGCCGCCCGAGGTCCACCGCCATATCCAACAATACATTCAAAGCTACGATCACCACACCCGCTTCCGTCTTGCCCGCACCTGCAAGAAAGCGTGGCAGGTCGTGAAGAATGGCCCTCGCCGTCCTGGCTATGCTCGGATCGAATATTGTCCGGAAGGTTTTCGAGTTCACGGCCTAGCAAAGACCCCTCGCATTTACCCGACAGCAACGATGGAGCTGCTTTTTCGGCGTCCGAGTTGTGGCATATCGGGCTAGTGAGGGGTAGCGCTATTTCGAAAATTCAAGGATTAAAAGCCCAAATCTTGAGCCTACGACTAACGGACGGGCCACCAGGGCTCGACATTCAGATGCTGAACGAATTCCTGCCGGAAAAAGGCTGGTATGATCGAGTGTACGTTTATAGCTCTCAGCCGACGTCGGAATTTCTTGAATTTGCGAAAGAACGGATTGAGCAACTTTACATAAATCATGATGGGGATCCGCAGGCATGGCTGGCCTGCCAGAACAGGTGTTGGACCTTGACCATACAGAATTCGGAGGGTGGATGGGTTGAGAATGCGGTCCGGAAGCTCATTTCCGAGTGGTTAGACCATCAAAGGGAAATTGGTTCCATCACGGTACTTTCGGATGGGATCGGTCGACTTAAGCTGAATGCCACCAAACATGTTCGGGATGATGGAATGATACTTCGGATCGAGGGTCGAATCCGTCAAGTCCAGCTCACTACCTCTGGATAAGGCCCTCGTTTCGTTTTCTCTGATATTGTCTTCTATCTATATCTTCTCTTTCTCCCTCTTTCATTCTCTCTCTCTCTCTCTCTCTCTCTCTCTCTCTCTCTTTCCTTCTCTTTCTATATATATATTTTTTACTCTCGCTCTCTTTATGGCCAAGGTTTAAGAAATGAGAATCGATTTGGTGCAAATAAATATCTCACGAGCCGCCACTAGAAAGGGCAAAATCATCGGTAATGAGTACTCCATTTTTATTACTTCGCAAACGCACGGATATCACAATGAAATCTGAGAGCACTTTTTGAAAGACATAGTCACTTGGCACCCTGCCAATACAACTAGATACTAGTTACAGGCGTGTACTGGCAACTTCCAGTACAAATTTTGACAAAAATGGAATGATTGGGCGTGGAGGGGGGTTCGAGAGCGCTAGGGTCGTATTTTAGAAAAGGCCTGAGAAGACCTTTTCCACCTTTTCGATGATAGAGTTGATTTGAGCGGTCTCGGGGGTGATGATCAGTTTCTTGACAACGGACTTTTCTTCTGAGGATTTGGAGCTGCTGGATTTTTCTGAGGAGGCGGAGGAGCTCGAGGAGCTCGAGGTTTTTGGTGGGTTTGTGGCGGGCTTGATGGTGGACGTCTAAAAATACATAGGTATTTCACGGAATATAAGCAAAAAGTCGCAAAATCGGCGAAAAATTTACAGTAATCGGATCCTCGTCCTCCTTACGTACGCACATCCCGATTTTGACGCACAATCGCTTCGTGTCGATCATCGGCTCGATCTCAAAATTAAAAAAATATGGATAATATTTGGATATAAAAATAATTTTTATCAGAAATAGTGAGTTTTTATACCTTCTCGTAGTACTCCTCGATTTTGTCGATCATCAACGAGATACAAGTAGCAACCGCTTCGTTATCACCTCCAAACAAAGCTTCGCAATCTTTTTTGACCATATCTTCAGCGGAAGCCTAAAATATTGGTATTAGGCTTTCAAAAGAGAGTTATAAATTTAAAGAAAAAGTATATTTAAGGGACCAGCTAAACTTGAAGTGTTCCACCAGATAGTTAACTTTTTACCTTCATTTGAGCAATGTTATGGTTGATGCTGTAGATGGTGCTCACGCAGAGATCACACCCGAATCCTTGAACCTGAAAAAAATGGTTGTTATACTCGATTACGACATTAAATAACGCCATGCGCTGTAGCTACGCACTATTTGACTTTCAGCGATTTTTTACTGGGCTAATAATAGATCTTTAAAGGGATTTCGACGGCATAGCCAATCGGTTACGCGCGGAAAAGAAGATGCCTCTGCGCCTCTCCCCTGGGCGCGCTCTTTCCCCTGTTGGCTACTTGCCAATTTGTTGATGAGGGGGATCGACACATGCTATCGGCAGCCCTTTAATATCGATTCTCACCTCAAAATCCTCCTTCTGCGATTTCGACTTCTTCTGCAGGGTCTCGGAGACGATCTCCGCTACGAGCTTCTCCTTAATTTCGCGATCCACCGCATCGTATTGGCCGTATCGGGGGTAGGCGAGTATAGATGCGGAACAAAGGAGCACCGCTACCAACGACCGCATCTGGTTGCGTTTTGTTTCGTTCTGAAAGTATCGCAAAATTGGCATGGCTTAAGTAGGTCGATTTGAATATTGAAAATGGAACAGAAAGGCGCAAAGAAATTCAATGAAGAAGAAGAGGTCATTAACAGCGCATATTTTTAGAACTTTCTAAAGGTAAACCATTACTATGCTAGGTTTTTAGATTTTCCAATGGCATCTAATCTTAAGCGGATTTCATGAAAACTTTCTAAAGGTAAGCAGTTACTATTAAACGGATTTTCTGGAAACTGACAGAGGTATGTAATTTTTATTAACCGAGTGTTCTTGAGAGTTTTCTAAAGCTATATAATTTTTATTAAACGGAATTTCGACAAAACTGGAAAAAACAAGCGAATTTTTCAGCCTTTGAAGGAGGGATCGTAATATCGTAGAAGCGGATGCTTTTTAAATTTTTTAGGGTATTTAATTATTATTAAGCGGGTTATTAAGCAGACTTTTACAGGTATACATCATTTTGTGATGTTTTTACAGTTATATAAATTGCAGTAAGCGGACCAAAAAGACAGGAAAACCGCAAAGTGTTCATTGGCCCCCGGGAAACGTTCCCGAACTCGAATGCTTGAGCCCCCCCCACCCCAGAGTGCGGGGCCGGCGAAACAAACGGATTGTCTGTCCGGGATTTGCGTCTGGCAAACAGGCCACAAGGTGTGTCCGGAGGCTGGAAGTGGACGCGTCCATCGCCCCCGAAAAACGATGCCCTCGGGCCGATGGATTGGGAGGGACTGTAAGAAGCTTCCGAAAAGCACGCACTCAACGCGTTCTCTAAAGATCCGCAAGGGTGGGGGGACAATGCCCATCCGGGGGCCCCTTTTGGGCCCTCTTTCTTAGGGCCCACCATCCGGGCGGATCTCCACTTTGATCCAACAGTTTGGCCCCAGTCCCCCGCCTGAACGCTGAGAGGAAGCAGGGGCTCGGAACCGGGAAAAACACATGGGAACGCGGTGGGAAAAAGATCAGGAGCCAGAATTGGGGGTGGGAGGTGAGTAGTGTAGTTTTACAGGGATTTACGGTAATTCTGGCGCACGGTAGAGCCTGCTAAACAATTACGATACCAAAATCTACCCATTTCTTTGCTTGAAAAGGTGAAAAGTATGCTCGTTCAGCAAAAATTCGCAGCTCGATACCGAATCCGGGGGTTCCGACGGCCTGATGGCTTAAAAACGTGCAATTCTACCCTATTTTTTGCTGGATCTCGACATCCAGGAATCGTTTACCAAAATGTGATAGATTTAAGGGGCAAAACGCTATCTTAGCACAAAATTTTCAAAGCCAGACAGGCATACATTGGCATGGCGCGTTACTGGCGAGGCCCAGTCGCCCGCAGGGGACGATTTCGAGGCCTAGAAGTCCCTTTCGTTGGAAATTCATTTTCTCCAACAAACGGAGAAAGATATTAGAATGACAGTAACAACCTCGGAAAGTTCCTTCCCGAAAAATTTAAGGCTTAAGCTACAGAAAACGGAGCGAAAAGTTAGGAGGATTACCGTCATTCATAATAATACAACATTAAAATGGAGATTGGGAAGAAAAATCCCCAAAATTGGGTCTTAAAATAGATAGAGAACGCTCGGAAAAACGAAGGAAAATTACTCTACCTTATCCAGAGACTTGCATCTAGTGCCAAAATGGAGGTTTTAGAAGCAAAATCGGCAAAATTAGCGCTTAAGCTATAGAGATAGCGCAGAAAAGCTAAGAGAATTACCGTAACTCATTAAGGAAATATTATACAACACCAAAATCCAAGTTTGGAAGTAAAAACCCGCAGATTTCAGCCTGAAAAGGTATCGCAGCGCTAGGAAAACCGCGGAAAACTACCGTAACTGTTCCAAAACTTGAATATAGTACCAAAATGGAAGTTCACAAGCAAAATTGCGTCCTCCCCCCGTCCCTGGTCCACTTTTCTAGGCCCGGGAACAAAAGTTCAGGCAAAAACGGCCGTGCGGAACCCCCGGAGGGGAACCCTTTGCAAGGCAACACTAGTTGGGTCAGTTTTTAGGCAACACTCCGCACCTTTTCGAGGTGCGCGCGCGCTTCGGAAGGCGGAGGCCAACGCGCCGCGCGCAGGAGCCATTCGCAACTTTGCGCTTTGTGGGGGGCTGGGTCCTGTAGCGCGCATCCGGTGTGTTTGACGGTACGCGTTTCTGCAGTCCATGTTTGTCACACGCCCCACCCCGCCCCTGTTCACACTATTATGTGTCCCAGTCGCGTTTGCCCGCCCTGGGGGGCTTTGGGCGACCGTTGCTGAAAATTCCTTGGACCCAGGTCCGGGGTGCAACATCACAAAGAATCGGCCGGCCGCCGGAAGAAGAATACACCCGGGGAATTCGCGTTTTCCCAGGGATTAAATATATGCGTGCCCGCGCGGGAGGATACGGTGTAGTTTAGGAGAGTCTGAGTCGTGATTCTGGAGCAGCGGAACACGGTTTTTCCGATCATTTTGAGGAGCATGATGTGTTTGATGAATTTAGATTAAAGGCATGATCCAAAAAATAATCGTTGTCGTCGGACTTTACAAAAAATTCCGGGAATTCCCAAAATTTGTCGAGATTTCCGAGAATTTGTCGGGATTTTGGCTACGCCAATCGGGGGAGCATTTTACGACGATCTTACGTGGAGAAATTTTTAGCAGGTTTTAGACATTTCACTAGGCGACCTAGCCCATTCGATAGAGCTTGAAATTCTCAAAAGATGCCAACTTCCGAAAATTGCCGGATGGCTACACTATACGAGAAAATTTCCTGTAACGGCCTTGAAAATCCCGCATTGAAAAGTTTGCCAACGTGATTTAATCAAAATGTCAATTTATACTTAGATGAGCTATACCGTATCGCCAAAAATACTAAAAATTATTTAACCTAATTGGGAAAAAGAACGCTTAAAAAGAGCATACGTGTCAAAGAGGGCAAGAAAAATGAAGTTTCAACAATTGGCTTACATTTAAAATAAATTTAATATTTAAAATCTAATTTAAATTCATTTAGCAGATTTGGAGAGCGCCATAAGCAAAAATGGTTTTTTTCCTGTACCGAACTAGCTATGTATCGGTCTCAAAACGCCAAACTTACCTAAAACGAAAGATGTCCACACGATTGGAGGTTTAAAATCACGGTAAGGCTAGAAATTCGTAGCGTTTCGTAATTCGATGCTCTTACCGTACCCCCAAAATTTTTCCATGCGGGACACCCGAACCCTCGCAACTTCAGGGCCAAACCCGTGCAATTCAAGCCTACACAAATCAGAGCGACAACCATTTGTGCAGAAGCGAACTGATGAAACCGAATGCTGTTCGAACGGAGTGGAACGGACAGCGGCCACTTCATAGATGTTCGGGTCCTCAGCCCGAGGGGGGGAGAAGACGCCCTGGAGGCTGTGGTTGTGGCCCTAGTGCAAATACTGACACCTCGGAAGAAGAAGAAGAAGAAGAAGAAGTGGAGGAGGAGAGAATGGCCCAGCAGACAGCTTCGCATTTGCATTCCATCACTGAAACTGGGGGTGGACGGGGCGGATTGAGACGTACTATTCAAGGTGCGAAATTTATACAGTCTTCGGAAAGCTAAAAATCTTCAAATGCATAAGAAAAGAAGAGGATATTGAGAGTTGGATAGCGAGAGAAACAGATAGATGGAGGGATAGATAGCGCCATAGAAACATAGAGATAAAGAGAAAGTGAATGAGTAGAGAGAGAGAGAGAAAGAGAGAGAGCGAGAGAGAAGTAGAGAGAACGTATAAAAGTGCGAGAGCATGACGCCAAATACGAAAGACAGAGGAGGAGAGTGCGAAGGTGAGGGAGGGATAGAGAGAGAGAGAGAGAGAGAGAGAGAGAGCGCGCGAGAAAGCCAGAACTTTCGTAATTTTATTATCTACCGTAAAACAAAGAAGAACTACGGTAATTCCATTACCACCGTAATCTTCTTCCGATTTTTGATAGATTCGCCTCTTAATCTCCGCTATTTGAACGATATGCTCGACTTACAAAATCTGTCGTCTCGCAAAATTTTTAATTTATCCACATGGGCTATACCAGCTACAAATCTGGGAGGGTGACCAAGGCAACGGGTCCCGATTCTTTCTCGCTTGAAACCATCCGGTGCCGCCCGCATAATTTCCGGTCTGTAGTATGGTACAGCAAAAACGGCTTACCGAGTTCAAAGGCGATGCTGACTGAGATCTTGGGGCAAAGGCTGTGAGCATGACGGTACGGAGAAAGTAAAAAAGTCTTGAAGTGAAAAACCGAACAGATACCGATGCGCTTTGCGTTGTCGTTAAATTTTTATAGAAAACATGTTATTTCCAAAATTTGGGTAAGAATTTGCTCTACTTCCCGCAGAGGGAAGTCCCTAAAAGTTTTTCGCCATAACTTTTTATATTGCATTATTTTGGGATGTAATTAAAATTCTTAGCATATTTTTTGATGCTCTATCGAATGGCGTGACCTAAATCCTGACGAAATACCGGCAGCTTCGAAAAATTTGGGGGACTGGAATTTGGCTGTAAGATAAAGTCTAGCTAAAATCCGACGCCGCTTCTCTAGCCTCCGCAATCCGTGAATTGGTTTTTTTTGCATAGATTCCCCATACGCTTCGCATTCTATACCCGCCGGGGATAGACAGGCAACCGATCCCATCCCTCCTTCTCGCCCTCCTGCTCACATCGGGTCGATATGTGTTTTTGTTGCTTTTACCCCGGGCACGCGCACGCATGTCTCCACCCTCACTTCATTCCCTTCACACTCCTCCGGCTGCCATACACCAGCCACCCACCTCAGAATCAGTCGATTGGCCCCAGTCACCGGGGGCAAGTAGTTGGCTATTTGTCTTGTAGGGCCTTTGAGAACCATCTTTATCTTGTGGAAACGCTAAAACTTAGAATTCCTGGATCTTGAATACCTTTAAAGGGACCAGGAAGGCCCAGAAAAATTAGCTTGAAACGGGCTTTAACTCTAAAACTAGCATAAATTTTTTCTGCTCCCCTTTCCTCGCCCACAATCTCCCCATTTTTTTTGCGGTAGCATTTCCAGTTGGCTCCTCGCCAATTATAGATGAGCCCTGTTCTACCGGACCTTCGTTATCCCTTTGAGAGAAATTCATGACGGTAAATTACGCATCCAAATTCCACCCTGAGCCTCTTGACCTAAATTATCGGCTTTCCAATCTTGGGTTACCGAGCGCGCCATTAATCTTTTGGGCATTTCAATCGTGAAGATTGCTTTAGGAAAAGGAGGAGGGTGTACAATTTATCTTTCGGGGAAGGATTTTACAGAGCTTTATTAGTTTATTAGCTCAAAACAGGCTCTCCTATTCGTCCTTTTCGTTATAGACACTTCGACACAGATACCGGTAAATATGGCTATGTGTCTTCTGTCTTCCATCCTCCCTCCTCTCTCTCTCTCTCTCTCTCTCTCTCTCTCTCTCTCTCGCCTTTCTCTCTCTCTCTCTCTCTCTCCCCTCTCTCTCTCTCTCTCTCCTCTTTCTCTCTCTCTCTCTCTCTCTCTCTCCCTCTTTTCTCTCTCTCTCTCTCTCTCTCTCCTCTCTTCTCTCTCCTCTTTTCTCTCTCTTTCTCTCTCTCTCTCTTTGTCTCATCTGCTCTCAAATTCTTGGCTTCACCAACTATCCGTTTCCAAATCAGCCCCCCACTTCTCAATCCATGAACCAACACCGAATCGTTGTGTTGGTATGGGCAGTGGTTGGAGGTGATGGAGCCCGATGAGGAGCGGCTCCCCGGCTGGAGCGACGAGGAGGGGGTAGAAGGCGAGGAGGAGGAGGAGGAGGGGCACATCCAGGTGCACAGTCCCCCTTCTATTCCCTCACTCGCCCCGCCTATCCTCAGGCCCTATATTCCTCGCTTCGCCTCGCCAATTGTGGTGGGCTGTATCTCTGGCCCATCCACCCACATCCGCTGCTCTATCTAGGGGCTCCCCGAGTTTCGCACTGTCTGCCGTCTCCACTCGGCGGTGCTGTCTCGTCACGCGGTCCACACACGCCCAACCCTCTCCCCCAGTCGTCCCATGCCACCTCCGCCCTTGCCCTGGGTCCCCCTTGGCCGGGTGCTCCTGGTTTTCGATCAAGACGGCCCCGTAGAACGACGGCACTTCCCCTACGGCTACGCCCCGATCCGGGCGTACGTCTTCTAGGTTACGGTGGTAGTAAAACTGGGTCCTTAAAGCCCTTATTCTCGATTTTTTTGCCTCTTAATGCCCTTTCGGCCCTTTGATTCGTCCAAACTGCCCAACATATTGTGCGTCTTGAAAATTTCCGATTTTTAAGGTTAAAAAATTCTTAGCTCTTAAAAGTTTTACTTTCTTTAAGAAATTCTTGCCAAAACGAAAATTTAGCTGACTGGTATGATCTGGGGCTCCTCATTTTTAGAACAAGACGGCTCCCTAGAACGACGGCAAATTCCCCTATGACTACGCTCCACTCCGGGCGTACGCGTTTTGGGTTACGGTAGTAGTAAAAGCTGGTCTTTAGAGGCTAAAACCCACCTTTCTCTCAATGACCCTTGAGTCCTTTTATTCACCCGATCTGCTCCACCTATTGCACGTCTTGAAGATTCTCAATTTTCAAAGCTCTCAGAAATTGTTTTTGGAATGCGATTCGATGTCAAAACGAAATGCTTTGCAATTGTTTGTTTTTTAAGGTTTCATCATATAACATTCGAGATTCGAGATTTGCATTTTTTTGTGGGAGTGCTGAAAAGCTCGTGGGACCGGCTACTGTCGAGCCATTCTCGCAGTCTCACGTGGTGCTTTTGTAGCTTTGCTCGCTCGCTCTCTCTCACTCCCTCTCTCTCTCTCCCTCTCTTTCTCTCGCGGCCTCTCTATCACTCTCTCTCCCGCTCCCGCGCACTATGTCTCTATCTCTCCCATTCTCGATCTTTGTACCTGTCTCGCTAACCCATAAAAGTCATTGTCTTTTCCACTCTCCGTATTTTTTGTCTTTAAATCACTTTCACGGCATCACGACATTGATCTCCTAAACTTACTTATCCCTCAGTAACTTCTATCACTCCTTTTAGCCCAAAATGCCGGACCAAACGGCTGAGCAAAAAATGAACGACTACACAGTCGACCTCCGGAGCTATGTCCAGGACCAGATTCGCGGGGAATGGAGCAACGAGTTGGACGACGCCATCAGCACCGCCGAGCAGATGACCGCGGCGACGAGTGCCCATCTGGACGGAGACAAATTCGTGATGCAGGTGTACAAGGCACACGTCACGAAGATGAGGGAGAATCTGGCGCACGAGGCCGAGTCCAAGGAGAATTTTGAGGAGGGCGAGACTGCTGAGCAGTATATGGAGCGGGTAGGTAGTGGACGGAAAAAGATAGCGAGTAGAGAGAGAGAGAGAGAGAGAGAGAGAGAGAAGAAGAATGGCGAGAAGATATAGTGATAAAAAAGGCGCGATAGAAGAGAGTCAGAAAGGGCGAGCGAGACTTAGAGAGTGAGAGCCAACAAATTTACAATTTAAACTTTAAGAAGATTTGTGATTTTCCAGCAAGAGCAAGAGATCGGCGAGGCTGAGGAGATGATCGAAGGCTGTATTCAACTAGAAGCGTGAGTTTTTGAACGCCTATCCTAGCCCTTTGAGTCCTTCAAATCAGGTTTACCTGGCAAGCTAGCAGAGATCATTTGATAGGCGAAACAACCCGATTTCAGCTCGATCCGCGACAAAATGGCCGAATGCATGGAGGACGCGAAGCGCATCCGGGGTATGCAGCGCAGTACGAGACGCTACTTCGGTTTGTCTGACCGGTAGGTGGAGTGACACTTTAAACGTTTGGGTGTAGGTTTAGGTGTAAGTCTCGTCAAGTACGTAAGACGTAAATAATTGGATGACCTTAATTTTTTCAGAATGTGGGACATGCCCCCAGAGTTCTTTGACAACTTCCCCACTGACGACGAGGACAGCGACGGCGAAGATGTGATGGATTTCATGAATGCGACAATCGGTGATCTTGATGATACCAGTGAAGATGATGATGATGATGACGAAATAGACGAATATGCAGATGACGAAGAGAACAAAGAAAACTAAGATACCTTGCCCCCAGCTACCGTATCCCCCACTCAGCCCGTCGGGCCTGTCTGTACGAAATGTGAACAAAGTCGCTCGACTTCCCCCCCTTGATCCCCGTGTTGTTCTGTACTTAGCCGTTTTTTTCCTTTCCTGTATAGTTTTGCAAAAATGGTATTCTGAATTCGTAAAAACCAGAAATATATTTTAGCTTTTCTTGTCTTTTTTTTATTTATGATTTCTGGGTCTTCACCTGGTGATCTCCCCATCGATTTTCCGGCCCTACCATATCCTTTTAGCTGTTTATCCCTCTCTTTCCTCTCTTCTCTCTCTTTTTTTTTCTCTCTCTCTCTCTCCCTCTCTCTCTCTCTCTCTCTCTCTCTCTCTCTCTCTCTCTCTCTTTCGACCTGATCCTTCTCAACGACTCATCCATGCCACCCTAATCATATAAAGCAGTTGAATAGTTTTGAATAAAGTTTTTCAAGGTCTTTCCCAGTACTTTTGCTTTGTAAAATACAGACAAAAATGTTCCGCCGGATACATTTTGGTTCCATAACATTTTGGATCCAAATTTAAAGGGACGAGCAAGTGAAGGTCGAGCTCCTGATCAATGATTTCTGACTTATCCCATCCGATATATCCCGGCAGATCGTTCAAATATGCCTGTAATTTTGAGGTTTGAGGTTGAGCTTTTGACCCATTTCCTATCTCCAAACATCCGCGTAAGATGTTCAACAATCTCCGCCTCATTCCGGTTGACCTTGGGAAGTATCAGCCCGTAAAAAGGGGCAGCAGTTGTTAGGGCGGGCCGGTTCCGGGTCGGTCCATTTTGTGTTGTGCGTTCGCTTACCCTTTCCGTGCCATTTGTCCTCCCCGGAATTAAAAAAAAAAAAAAAAAAACGGTCCCCCCCCCCCCCCCGAGGAAAGAAGAAAATAAAAGATTGCCTTGAGATTGAAAAAATAGAAACCGGATCCAATGGGGAATTTTTTAAATTTTTAATGTTTTTTTTTTGGGTTTTTTTGGGGAGGAGTTTTGTTGCAACCATGCTCCGGCTTCTCCTTCTATTTTTGCGCTATTTCAGCATTAATGGGTGATGATGAGGAAGGTTGTCTACGTCCCAGCGCCCCAGGTCTACACCGATCCGGTGCCGCCAAAGCCAGTGAAAACGGTGAAGCCAGGTGCGCCGCGGGTCATAGTAATTTGTATATGTATTACGGTATAGTCATTTTTGGTAAAAGTCCGCGAAAAAACGTATTGTAGCGCATGGTAACCGATCGGGTTTAAGAACATAGTATAGTGTAAGGTAATGTGGTTTTTCTGGAAAGACGCATTGTTGGGTGTCCCACAGTATCGTAAGGTAGGGAGCCTTACTGCGGCGTATTAGTTAGAAACGTATACTAACGTATGCTATCGTAGCGTATTGTAGTGTCGCATGTTGCGTAGTGCCGTTCCACCACATTTATGCTGCTTTCGCTTAGGGTTGTGTAATTTTAACAGTTATAGCTGACAGCAACGATACAGTGGTGTACCAGCCGGCACCCCAGGTCCTACACCGATCCCGAAGCAGATACAAACTACTCATTCGTCAAGCCGGACGGTACCGTCGAGGAGTCGCGACCACGTCGAGATTGGGTGAGTGTATGATCTTTGATGCTTCTTGAAGGTTTTAAACGGGATTTATAGTATCGTAGCGTCTCGTACCATACCGTGGCTATCCGTCTCGTAACGCACCGTGACATATCCTAACTTAGCGTAATGTACTACAAATGGTCATACCGAAGTCGCGTTCGTGGCGCGTCGTTGCTTTGCGAAAAATTTTGTAGAGATTTTTGGGATTTCAGCTGACAACGAAACTGTGGTGTATCAGCCGGCGCCCCAGGTCTACCCAGATGTACCCGCACGCGAGTACGGCTACCTACCGACTAACCGTACCGAGAGGGGCTGCTGAACGAAAGCGGGTTGTGAAGTCTACCCGGAAAGCACGACTGAAAATAGCCCCGATGAGCACAGTAGGTTCTCAAATTCTGGGCGGATTTTGTAGCGTAGCGTAGTCTCTTTTCAAAGTGGAAAGTTTTTTTCAGAATACGATGCCTGGATCCGTGCCAAAATCCCAGAAGCTGGGGATAAGAAGCTCGTGCTTAAGCGGGATGCAGAAACTTTTTGGAGCAGAAAAACAGGACAGTCGTTCACGGAAGTTTTAGGAAATTCTTTGGTACGTTTCTCATCTGGTGACGTTTGGCGTGGCTAGCTCAGGCCCGAGATAAGCGAGCAGAGACACATAAGAAAACAAACCTAAAGCCCTATTTACGGTTTTAGGGCTCGACAAACTGGATACACTACGGTATTCACGTCACCCTTGACATCCCGTCGATGGAGGAGGGCAAAGCTTTACGATTGCTTCCGGCTTTGAGCTCCCGCAGCGGCGAACCGACCAAGGATTTTTCGAGTTTGTAGTTGATCAAAATTCACCACAAAATTTTGAGGGTATGTGGCGTCAAAGAAAAGAAGCTGGAATTCACGGTGCCTGACAGCGCCGTTGGATTTACGTAAGTTTGGATGCTGATCCCTCAAATTTTACCTAAAAGTTAAGGTATACCACAGACGCTCCAGAATTCACCGCCACCTTCTCCAGCCCACCTATGCAAGAATTTAACGATAATGGACGCGGTGCGTGAGTGGTTTTGCTTTTTTTGGAAATTTGATGGTTTTAAACCAGAGATTGAATAAAATTTTGGTGTTTGCTAACATAGAAAAATCAATTAAATTCCGGAAAAGTGGGGATTAAACAAATCCCGTTTTCAACAGCCCCTCCCCGGACTTTGGCGCGTTATACAGCACCCCGAAAGAGGAGGGCGGGAGAAGCGAACAGAATGGCGTCATCTTCAAGAAGGACTACCCGGCGGTAAGCTCGCAGTTTTGAGAGCTGCTTCGCATTAACATATTTCGATATTCTGTCGAAAAATGTGCTTTTAGAATACCGACGGCCTCCGTTACGTGTTCAGTCTCCCCAGTATTCCGGTGGGCAGGCTCCGAAAAACTTCTGGGCCAACGGTATCCTGGCTGATGGTGAACAGTTCTACCGAGGAACCAAAAGACGAAGGACGAACTGATTGGGTTTGTTTAAATTACGATCAGCGTAATGATCGTCTTCGAATTTATGGTAAAAACCTCAGTCTACAATTGACCCCGGAGAAGAACATCACCCTGGAGCTTCCCGCGAACACCGACTTCTACGCGTACTTTGCCGGCTCGGCCAGGCCAAACCGGGACCGGAGGTTCGAGGTGGCCAAGCAGGATAAAGAATAGGAGCCAGTCAAGCTTGCCGAACTCCGCTCCATGTTAACTGTAATTTTATGCATAAATATTCGTCTTGGCTAGAAAAGGGTACTGCACTCGAGGAATGAATATATATTGCATTATGACAATAATTGTGTAGTCACCGTAATCCGGATGTGTACTGTACAGAGTCCCCCAGTAATGTTTGAATTTTTCTGTTATGTTCTGACCTTGAGGAATGATGAAAGCTCCCGGATTGGGATCGGACGCAAGGTTCGTGAACTTTTAAGGTTGGGTCCCTTTTTCCCGTTACTCTTAACACTAAAACGGGCTCCCCCAATTAGGATAGTTGCGATGCTCTATCGAATGGGGCGCAAGATTCCGATGAAATAGAGGAAATATCAGAAAAAATTTTGAGCCTCAGGCTGGGGTAAGGTAAAGTCAAGCCAAAAATGCTTTAAAAAAACCCGTGACCCCAGAAATAACTTTAGAACGAAGACGGACTCAGCTACGTCTGCAACCTGATCCAACACGAAATTAAGTTCGGGAGTAAATTCTCTGCGCAAGGTTTCTTCGCCGACGGGGATCAGCTCTATTTGAAACACCGAAAGACCGACGAGAGGATCATTTACGTTTCCATGCGCCTATACAAACTCGGCGCCAGACATCAAGATCCGTAGTGTTTAGCCTCGCTTTGGACCCGAACACCGCTTTCACCATGGACATCCCGCCACAAAAGACTACGATCTGTATTTTGTCGGTGAGCAGAAGCCGAACCGGGACCGCCGATTTGAAATCTCGAACCAGGCACAGGATGAATAAATCCCAGCTATGCACCACGCTAAAATTAAAATATGAACCAAAATATTTCAAGCAGCTCAGCAAGCTAAGATTTGTAATTTTGATTTCTTTCAGACATGCCTCTTTCTGTATTACTTTCGTTTCGTCGTTTTCTCACACCTTCTCTCACTCGCTCGTGCTCTCTCTATCTCCCGATCTCATTTTCTCTCTCATTCTCTCTCTCTGTTTCACTCTCTCACTCTCCCTCTCTTCCTCTCTCCCTCTCTCACCCCTCTCTCTTGCTCCCTCTCCAAGGTTCTTCTCCGATTATCGCTCAGTCAATTTAGCGAGGTCTCAATTTTTTTTTCTGGCCAAAAGAAGAGGGCGAAGTGTACATTTTGCGAGCGTCGTTCTGCTCTCCTCTCTGCTGGCTACAAAAGCAAGTAACTTTCTGATGTTGTCACCCTTAAAATTACATCGCTGGCTTTCTGATCGAAACAAAATCGACAGAAAAAAAACCTCTAGGGGAATGTTTTTGAATGCTTTACTCCCCGGAGTGTCGAAACTGTAAACGGCCAGAGACCTTCAAAAATCCAAAAAAACTCTCCGGGGAAATAGGGGCGGAGCTTCAGAGAAGTGTTCGGGTCCGAGACCGCTGTGGTGTGGATTCCATCAACCGGTCCATTCCCCAAAATGCTGCCGCTTTTGATATTAGGCTGTATTTCGGCGGTGCTCGCCGAAGATGTCCCTCCACCACCTCTTGTCTCAATTGATCCAGTTAACATTGGAGGCGGACCGCCTCCAATCAATGATCCCCGAATCGGAGAGCACGGCAAGTTAGGAGATCTCGTTGTGGACTCTTGATGCGCTAGATTACGACAAATGGCATCAGGCTGACATCCCCGATGGGGAAAAGGGACGTTGACGTTCACCAAGAATTCGACCCAGCTGAAGGAAGACGGCGGAAAAGTTGTGCATCAGATTGGTGGGCATGGGTTTGTGAGTTTTTCAGAATTTGTGAGCTACTCATCAATGTAGGTAATTTTCTATTATGCGCTTTACATCGCGTCCATTAACTACACCAAATAATATAATTCCACTTAATAACACGAATAAATACGCAGTCTAAATCCCATCTCAGGACCCTGAAACCTGGGACTCGTTCGGAATCCATGTCGTGCTCGAATTCTCCCCCATGGTCGAGGGAAAGGTCTACGACTTCTTTGGCTTCGAATTCCCGCGTAGTCTGCGTGGCGGGCATATGAATTACGCCGAGTTTTTTCTGTTCCACAGACAGTCCAAGAATTGTTTAGGGTCATTGGGGCGAAGGGCGGCAAGATTGAGTTCATGATCCCCACGTCGGACGTCGGATTTTGGTAAGCACCGCTTCGAAAGGGATCGGAAAGGATGGATTGGATTTTGTGGTCAAATTTTCGCGAAAATTGCAAAAACTGCAAAAACCGCATTCCAGGTACACCGACAAGGCTCCCGAATTCAAGGTGACCTTCAACGCACCCAGGATGCCGAAGCAGAAGGAGAGCGATGGCATGTTTCGAACTTAATCCCGGTACCTGCTCGTGCTCCCCTTTAGCCTGGTTCATCCCGGTCCCGCCTCTCGCTCTCGGCAAGGACGGCACGACGCCCATCGGTGATCAGTACGAAAGGGTGCCCGCAGGTTGGGCTAAGGATAGTGGTTGTACGGCTTGAACTTCTATAGAACCTCGACGGCTTCCGCTACGTGTTCA